CTCCACGAGTTCTTAAAGTTACAGTCAAGCTGGAACCAACCCTCTCTGGGGAGTGGCAAAGCCCCTGGTGTCTGTGCAGGGAACTTCTCATAACTTAATTCACACCCAAATCACGTTTCTGCCACCATTTTCTCCTTTCACAGGAGAGAAATGTTTCAAATCCTTGGGAAGCAGCCACACCACTAAGATTATCTTTTAACTGCAAGGAGGCAGTATGTGAAAGTGATATTGTGTGACTTGGCAACTCCTAAATACTGAAAGACTTCCTCTGAAAGGCTTCCTCTGTTCGCCATCAGCACCTATTCCACTCCCCCTCCTTAAGATCGCTGCTGTCTGCCTGGGATAATCTGGCAGAAGTGCCGAGTGGGAAAGCAGCCCTGGCATTTGCCTGGGTGGTCTGATTTTTAGTGGACTGCTGAAAAATGGACAGGGCAACGCCTCCCTTTAGCTTTCCACCCCTTCATCATCTGACAAGACTTAATGAGAAACTTCTGGGAGCAGATATCCTGCATCGGGCCAATGCAGGGACCCAAATACCCAGTAGGTACATAGCAGAAGCACCATAATTACCAGAGAAATGATGGGCATGCCAGCGGAGGTTGTGAAATTGGCAGACTTGGCTTGCCCCTTCCTGCTTCCTTCTAGAGTTAGGTAAACCTTTGGGGCGTGCTCTTGACTTCACTTTCTATTCAAAGCTCTTTGCAAGAAGTTTTCCAATAATCCCAATTATATACATTAACTATGTACAAGAAAGAGGTCATAAATGCCCATAGCTACAGTGTAGGCTGGGGGAGTAGGAGCTGGATAAAGAGTTTTAGATGGGGAAATCAACTTAAAAGCACACTGGGAGTTTCACAGGACATAACAAGAGTGAGAGAAAAAGTTCCATGGTTAAATAACTTTCAGAGGGTGGCGCCTGTGGCTCAGTGGGTAGGGCGCTGGCCCGATATACCAAGGGTGGTGGGTTCAAACCCAGCCCCAGCCAAACTACAACCAAAAAAAACAGCCGCACACTGTCGCAAGCACCTGTAGTCCCAAGCTACTCAGGAGGGTGAGGCAAGAGAATCGCCTAAGTCCAGGAGTTGGAAGTTGCTGTGAGCTGTGACACCACAGTACTCTACCAAGGACAATAAAGTCATACTCTATCTCTACAAGCATAAATAAATAAATAAATAAATAACTTTGAGAAATGCCGGTCCATTTAAAGCTGAGCAAATATATTTTCTGTAGGATTTCTTAGAGCCTTTAACAAACGGAATAGGTAACGATTCCAAAGCCTATCTGACTACAGAATCCTGAGCACTTTTTAAGGACTGGCTTTACTCAGAATCTATACTACTTTAAAGTATTGTTTTAAAAAGCACAATAAAATCTTCATTATTCCATCCCCTCACACTATAGGGGGAAAAGGTAGCTTAACTAATATTAATTTGTTACTTTCACCAGTACTGGTACTGTCATTTCAAGAAGGTGACAAGGTGATTATGTAACATTCTTTCCTCAGGCAGCCTAAAATATCCCCAAGGCAGTTTAATACTAATGTCTAAGTTTTAAAAGTCCTTGAAACAGCACTATCTTCAGAATGAGACCCAGGTCTTCCCCTTCTTACAGCCAATTAGCTGGGTGACAAATCATCTTCATCTCTCAACTGAAGAAGTTACAATAATAGTTAGTCATGGACTCTGAACGCTGAGTATACCTTTGTAATCCACTATAACATGGGGTGACAGAAAAAAACAACTGCTCTGGAGACTGACTAGGTGTGACAGTTTCTGAGTCTATTGCCTCTCCACCTGCTGTCTCCTAAACTCTGTGCCAACACCCTGAGTAAATGAGGCTGGGTTCACACCCAATCACCCAAGGGCCGCACCTCCCAATGCTCTAGCCCTGGGAGTCAGAGAAGCAGACACTACCATCTTAAGGAAAGAGAGCACAGCTCTAATGAGGAGAAGGTGCTTGAGGACCTCACATCCAAAGCTGCTTCTCCCCACACAATTGGGCACCAAGAGGAAAAACCCAGCCCAGGACAAGGAGGAGCAAAAGTGCAGCCAGCCAGCTCGCTTCTCCCTACACAGGATTTCCCACCAGATGTGGCTGGTTGACAGGACCACAGCTGCTTCCTGTCCTGCCATATCCTGAGGCTGCTTGATGAACAGACTTGTCTTGCTTTAATGCAGAAGTTACAGTTTGCACAGTCATTTCTGGGGCCAGAGACGAGGTGTAAGATTTTCAAGCAGCTATCAATATAGGGCTGAACTCTGCATCTTTCGGCCAATAACTGACTGCTTCTGACTGTTAAACAGCAGCATATATTTTATTTCTGATTCTGACAGAATACCTAAAGGCTACTAACTCTTTATTAAAACCCAAACTCAGGGGCGGCGCCTGTGGCTCAAGTGGCTAAGGTGCCAGCCACATACACCTAAGGTGGTGGGTTCGAATCCAGCCCAGGCCCGCCAAACAACAATGATGGCTGCAACCAAAAAATAGCCAGGCGTTGTGGCAGGCGCCTGTGGTCCCAGCTACTTGGGAGGCAGAGGCAGGAGACTTGCTTGAGCCCAGGAGTTGGAGGTTGCTGTGAGCTGTGATGCCACAGCACTCTACCCAGGGGAATAGCTTGAGGCTCTGTCTCAAAAAAAAAGAAAAACAAGCCCAGGGGCAGCGCCTGTGGCTCAGTTAGTGGGGTGCCTGCCGACCCCATATACTGAGGATGGCAGGTTCAGACCTCAGCCAAACTGCAGCAAAGGAATGACCAGGCGTTGTGGCGGGCACCTGTAGTACCAGCTGCCCAGGAGGTTGAGGCAAGAAAATCGGTACCAGCTGCCCAGGAGTAGGAGGTTGCTGTGAGCTGTGACACCACATCACTCTACCAGGGGCAGTAAAGTTAGATACTGTCTCTTAAAAAAATAAAGGGTGGCGCCTGTGCCACAATGGGTAGGGCGCCGGCCCCATATACCGAGGGTGGTGGGTTCAAACCCAGCCCCGGCCAAACTGCAACAAGAAAATAGCCAGGTATTGCAGAGGGCACCTGCAGTCCCAACTACTCGGGAGGCTGAGGCAAGAGAATCGCCTAAGCCCAAGGAGCTGGAGGTTGCTGTGAGCTGTGACATCACAGCACTCTACTGAGGGTTAATAAGTGAAACTTTGGGCTCGGTGCCTGTGGCTCAAGCAGCTAAGGCGCCAGCCATGTACACCTGAGCTGGCAGGTTCGAATCCAGCCCAGGCCCGCCAAACAACAATGAGGGCTGCAACCAAAAAAAAAAAAAAAAAAATAGCCGGGTGTTGTGGTGGGCACCTGTAATCACAGCTACTTGGGAGATGGAGGCAGAAGACTCGCTTGAGCCCAGGAGTTGGAGGTTGCTATGAGCTGTGATGCCACAGCATTCTACCCAGGGCGACAGCTTGAGCCTCTGTCTCAAAAACAAAACAAACAAACAAACAAAAAACCCCAAACCCAGTAGCATACAGCAGTTTTTTAATTAAAGCAAAACAGTTACCAAAAAACACTGGCAGCGGGCGGTGCCTGTGGCTCAAAGGAGCAGGGCGCTGGCCCCAAATGCCGGAGGTGGTGGGTTCAACCCAGCCCCAGTCAAAAACTGCCTCCCCCCCAAAAAAAAGACACTGGCAGAAAAAAATGCAAATGTTTTTTCTTTTCTTAACCAATAGAGATGACTGTTTGCCTTACATAAGAGACACATCCTTGCAAAGGCTCTGTCAAGAAGCATTAAGCTACAAGAGGAATGTTCAGAATTCCCTGATGTTTTCAGGAACAAGCAACCAGAATTTGCCTTGAGGGCTTCTGTTGGCTAAGAAAGGCCTAGAAAGAAGCATAACATTTTCATTCTACCTACAGCATTTAAATATTGAGTTCAAGTCTCCTTTGATTTTGCTCTGACCCTTGAAGGAATTCAAGGTGAGAAAGGTTATACTATGAATCACAGGAAGGACCCTCCAGGACTTCCCTGACACCTGCAGGAAACTTTGAAGCTGCCAATGACCAAATTAAAAGGACAAGCTAGATGAGTTAATGTGTCTGGTGACATCCTGACAGAGCAGAACATTAGGGCTCATAAATCACCAGTCAGCACAAACAAGCTTCCCTAAAACTGGTTTTGAGCAGACATAAAACAAAAGGCACAGTAGCTCTGGAGCTAACTGGAGCTCCAGCCCATGCCATAGAAAAGGACACCCCTGTGCTCTCAGCAGAAAGGTTTTGGCTTTAAGTATTCGATAATCTTTCTTCCTCAATTGTTTGTTCAAAAGGTCAGGACAGCTCATAGGTCAGTACATCTGAACTACACTGCCTCCTCCCACATGTCCCAAAGTCTGGGCTTCCAGACTTTTTCAGAACCCCTCATCTCTCCTCCCTCACTAACAGGGCCAAAGTCCATTCCAAACTAGATCCATTCCCAAGGTGTGGAATTCTTATCAAAGCCATTTTTTTTTAACTTTAGTTATCTTCTCATTCTTCCTGAAAAATCTCACCTATACCAAATCTTTCCTATACGGTATACGCTAGTTTGGCTAGTGGTAGTGCTGGTAACGAGAGGTGTCTTGGGCTTTTCCTACATTTCTCCATCCCAAGAGAGGCTTCCACCTCTTATGTTGCTGTCACCCTCTCTCCTAAGATGACTTCAAGACAGGTGCCTTCCCAAGACTACAGGTATGTGGTAGTCACATTTTGCTTCTATTCCTGAAGCTAGGGAATCCCCTTAAGGGTCCGACCGTGCCTGCTCCAATGCCCTTCGTCCAGTCAGAGGAGCTCTATCCCGGGGTGCTATAAAATCTCACCCCTACCGGGGCTACAGCGCCCCGCCCCACTCTACATTGCCACCTGCTGCTAGTCCCGCCCTCCAGACACTACGATAGGACAGCCCTCAAAGTACGCTCTCCCATTGGGCAGATGGACCGTCCCTCCTACGCCACGTCTCCCGGCTGCGGCGAAGGAGGCCCAGGCGGCGGCCCTTGGCCCTAGAAGAGATCTGAATTGGGAGCTGTACCTGGAAGGGGTTTACATCCACTGGGTCCGCAAAGGGGTTAGTGTCGAAGGCCGACATGGCAGTCGGGACTGACGAGCAAGCTCGGCGAGCACTCCTGCCTCCGGGCACCCAGACCCAGCGGCGCTCTGGGTAGACTCTCCACTTCCGGGAGCGAGGCAGCCGTTGTGGCGCAGGCGCAGGGCCCTCCCAGAGGGGCGTGGCCCTGTGGCGTCACAGATGTTCGCCCCACCCTCCTGCCCAGCCCATAACAGAGTGAGGGCGGGCGTTCTGCTTTGCGTCTGCGTCTTCCTTCTGCTGTGTAGTCAGGGGTCCTAGCTGGGCAGAGAGACTAGAGGGGCAGAGGCAGAACTCCAGAGTCCTTCCAACTGCATATCAGTCTGATATATTTTTGTTTCTAAAGCAACTCCCAAAAATGGGACAAGAAACTTAATCCCTTATTTTCCCTTGAAGGCAAATTTGGGAAGTTTCGAACTAGTACGTGGCAGAGGACAAGGGTGACTGAAGCAATTATGGGACTTGAGTTGGGATTTGAACCTGCGTATAAGCATTAAGTGAATGGAGGAGTTAAGCAATAAAGCCTCAGTCATGGGGGAGATGGCTGATTGACTCTCCACAAATCTACCTTATTTATTCATCTCTTTCTGTGCTTCAGCTGGGCTGTCACTGAATCCACCCACTCATCTTCCAATCTGGACTAGTACAGGACTGTTAACTGGCCAGTAGTTCTTCACGTTGTAACCAGAGATCTGTTTAAGGAGGGGCAAAATTATCAAGAAACTTTATTTTAAAAAAAAAAATGGGCGGTGCCTGTGGCTCAAAGGAGTAGGGCTCGGCCCCCATATGCTGGAGGTGGTGGGTTCAAATCCAGCCCTGGCCAAATACTGCAAAAAAAAAAAA